TAAAAATTAAATTATATAAAATAAATTAAATAAGAATAATTTATAATATGTATGAAATGGATAAAATATAAAGAACATTAATGGAACAAACTAAATTATTATAAATTTTATAAATAAGGAATTCATTCTCTCCGAGTGTAAGAAGAGTTAAAGAAGATTTTGGGGTTAACTTGTTGTCAACCAATGAGAAGCGCATTACTTTACCAACCATCATCGAGAAGTCTAAATGAAGTCTTTTTCATATACTAGTTGATAGAGTTGTGAAAAGGATTAGTGGGAATCTTTGTCAAGAATAAGAAAACGAGTATTATTAAATTAGTCGCAAAAGTTGTTCGTTTATATATAATGAGTGTTTTATAAAGGAATATTTTAGACTATTATAAGGTACAAATTGAGTTATATATAATATACTATTATGGTAAAAAGCGAATTGTTAGAATTGGTTTTGAGGTGGAGGATTGGAGATGAAAAAAGAGTTCGTATTTCGATTAATAAATGGTTACCCTTTCAGTTAGGCCATTCTATTTGGACTCTAAATGTTAGTATATGTACTCAGTATTAGTTTCAAATTTGATCATTAGAGACTCATTCTTAAAGGTGTACCTTTAGTTAATCATTTGTTTAATCCAACCAATGCTAAATAAATTCTCAATATACCTGTAAGTAGAAGGCTCTCATCAGATAAGTTAATACGGATACATTATGAGAATATAATTTTCTTTATCAAATTAATTTATCATGTCACGTAGATCACCCGTCTAAGAAAAAAAGTTTCCACATATAGTTCGGATAACTTTTCTTTGAAGAACTTATGGTCTAAAAAAGTTCTTCTAAAGGTAAAATATTTTGTTAAAATTTGTGCATAAATAATCTTCTTATAAAAACTAGGTTAATTATGAAGAGAGTAGATGTTGATCCTATTTATTTTATTTGTTAGTGGAATATAAGGTAAAAACAATAATCTCTTTCGGTGTTGTCCTTTTTGCTCCATATGTTTAATGATTAAGTCTTTTAATATTGGATGATATTAAAGCACATAATTTGAATGTCCTAACTTGGTTTAATTATGTGTCATCCATTGGTGAATAATTCTATGTGGAATGAGTTATGATGTTCTCGTCGGATATTTAGTAGGCTCGACATGAATGAGTTTATTAAAACAAGGGTGGAGTCTTAGAATGTGTTGAGTTGATTCAGAGTAGAATGAGGAAGTTGGATGATATTATTTAGTCTTTTTTTTTGTATAAGGCTTATGGGGTGGACATTTCTTCCTTTTAACACCCACGACCAATGGGTTATTAGAAGATCAACATTGATACTTTTTTTAATAACTCAAGATCGGCTAGTTTAGGGGTGATATGAAAAGATGAGTTTGGTAATGTTATATTTTTGGGGTTACAGAGGTTATAACATTGTTGCATGGGTTAGAGGTGACTTCTTCTGTAGATAGAGTGTAAAGGCCCAAATCTCTATCAAGGATTTCAAGCATTTAGCCTTATAATAATATAGTAATATTGAAATCATTACGCAAGAGAATTAAAGATTTAAAAGTTATATTCCTTCCACGTTTACTTAGAATACTCAAATAGGGGCTATTGGAATATTTAAAACTTAAAACGAGGAAACTACTATAAAGTAATAATTAATCTCGACTCAAATCTGGCAGAGCAGAAAGAAATAATGTCCTAGCTATCTTCTCACTGTTCGGGATCTAGGTCTTGACATTCTTGATCTGAAATAATTAATAAAAAAGTGGTGATCTACACTAACTTAATAAGAACACCAAAAACCTTATCATCGACACGGTAACTAAATAGTTATAGAAAAATCATAAAACAACCGATAGAGTAATTTTTAACTAAAAACAATACTGGGGCGATCACATCCTTCCTTTTTATGGAAACCATTTTATTTTCCTGTTTTCTTACTAAACAACATTCATATACAACAATAAGATATATTCAAGGATGTAGCAGTCCCGGAAATTTAAAATGGAAATTATATTATAAATATCAAATGCGGAAGCGAAGTCAAAATTTGAATAACATTCCTTACACTAAAACCAAAAACGTGCTCACAAAATATAAAAGATTAAACTACCTAAAGGAGAAACTTGAAAGTAAAAAAAACTACGAATGTGACTAGGGAGTCTTTAAGCGTTCCCTTCCTCGTCCTCCTGCGGAACCGGCTCGGGAACGATGTCCTGTTGATCTGAAATGATTAAATAAGGAATGAGCTACACTAGCCCAGTAAAGACATCACGATATCTCACCGTCACGGAGGTAAAGGTGGGTAGAAAACACAAAAAGACCAATGGAGCATAATTTACAACAAATCCTTTTATTAATAATAAAACCTTTACCATTCACTTACCTCGGTGAAATTCATAAAACAATATACGAAAGCAATAACATCATCATCATCATGAAAACATATGTATGAACTGTATAACATAATACCTATCAAATTTTTCGTAATTCAATCGTTACACAACATATTTTCCTAATTCACCAGCCCACTAGTATCCATGGGGATCCATAGGGGTCCCGCTACCCGTTAATCCTTAACACTTGAAATCCATTCCAGGGCCGTCCCCATACCCCGTCCGGTATGGGCGCCAAACCATAGACCTCATTACCCCGTCCGGTATGAGGGTGAAACGGGTCGTCCCCATACCCCGTCCGGTATGGGCGCTAAAACACATAAGATCTCCGTACTCCGTCCGGTATGGGAGACCACAATCTCGGTAGGGTTCCCTACGGACCCGGTCCGTCCACCATCTCCCAGGATATCTAGTCAGGCTGACCACATTATACTATTACCCATTTACATAATTTTTCATTCTTTTTTTCCTCAGTCAGCATCATTAATCCACATACAAGCAAGCAAACAGTAATTTATGCTAAACAGACAACATACAGCATCAATATCCCGGTCATTTAATCCATAATCAATAAAACAGTAAAATATGCACACGAAACTATAAAATGAAAATATCGAACCTCATGCTGCATTTAAAACTGTAAAACAGGCCAAATAACAGTTAACCGACAAATACACTAGACTTGGGCTCCATTAGCGACCTTAAGCAATTTCACACATTCGTTGATTCATGAAATACCGTTTTATCATTTATTGAACTTTAAAACCGTGATAGGAAATAAGGTGAGGGGTCCTTACACGTTTCGGGGTCCGAACACGGCTTCACAGTGCGCCTACAGGCTGTCCCTAATTTTTCCTAAATTTTTCTCGGGGAACTGAAACGCACTACTGGTACCTGCACGTGTTCCAAAAAATCCCAAATTAGGCCCAGGGCCCCTTTCGGCCAATATCGCAACTCCGGCACGGCGGCTCCGCCGTGCTCCAGCGACGGCACCACCGCTGGCGGCGGTGATTCGCCTCGAGTTGGCTGTTTTCGGCCGTTTCTGGCCGATTTTGGCCACACTCGCATCGGTCCCTGCGAGAAAACAACCCTAGGGCCCTCGGGGGGCCAAAAAATCACGGAAAAACAGAGCTTACCGGCGGCGGCGCTCTCGGGTGCGGCGGCTCTCCGGCGAGGTTCGTGTTTTGGTGATTCGGCTCCGGTCAACCTATAGAGAAAAGAATGGTGATCACGGTGATATAAAAATTGCATCAAACGGAGGCCGGGAAGGGCCTCATCGGAGGCAAAAACCGAGAAGGGGCGCGGCGGCGCTGCTGGGCTTCGGCCGTGTATTCCGGCCGTTTGGCCGGGATTTTGACTCCGATTTGGCCACAGGAGGAATCAGCGTGGAAAAACGAGTCGGGGGTACGAAATTTACCTCGATCGGCGGTCGGAAATTTCCCCGGTGCGGCGGCGGGTGGCGGCGGCCGGCTTCTGGTTCGTTTTCTCCGGCGAGCGGCAGGCGGCTAGGGTTTGTGGTCTGGTGTGGGGGTTCTATTTATAACCCTTTGCCTTTTTGATCTCAGCCGT